GGTTGTTAACCAATGTCATAAAACAATATGTGTACTACTGTTTCATGAGAAAGTATTTGTTCTGTAAGCCTTCACCTGAAGTACAATTAAAAAAAATTAAAAGATTCTCTCTCCCTTCAAATCCTGAGGGCTGATAAATTCATTCTAGGGAGGCAGCGTCTCTCCAAAGCTGCATCTCCTTAGTGTCAGCGAAGAGGCTTGCCTGTTGCAAATGGAAGGCCGATAGGAGCTCTCTACCCTGAGGCTCACTCCCTCCATTTTACTTGAACAAACTGGAATTGACCCACACAAGGACCTGTCTTTTCCCCAGTACACAATGGAGTAACTGATAAACTCAAGGAACACGAGCTCATGGTCCAAAATAACTAGATACTTGCAGAAAGCTATATGAAAAAAAGCCAGCAGTAAATGTGTGTATATACAAATAATACTACAATACACAGCATACTACAATTTATAATATGTAATATATATATAATATTCTGAAGCAGAGTTATTAGAATTGATGAAGCAAGAATTTTAAATAAATGCAAGAAATATATTTAAGAAGATAAAGAATAATATTAGCAATGTAAAACAACAATTTTTTTAAAGAGCCAAATAAAAACACTGAGTATGAAAAAAATAACAATTGAAATTAATAAGTGAAATAGAACCAAAAAGCAGGAGGAAATCTACTAAAGAATTAAATGGTGAGAAGTAAGATTACAACAAGAAACTACTAGAGGCAGAGAACAGAAGGAAAACATAAGGTGATAGAAAATATAAACTAAGAATTACAGGCAGATCTAGCTGAAGAAATAATGTAAATAAATTTCCAAGAACTAAAGAAAAATGAAAAAACTCAGATTTAAAGGGCCCAAATAATGTTAAAAAACCCACACTTAGAGATATTATAGTGGCATTTAACATATAGTTATGCATCACTTAATGTCCAAAATACATTCCGTGAAATAGAACTTTATGTGATTTGGAGGTTGTGCAAATGCCATATTATATATAGGCAGTTCCTAGATTACAAACAAGTTCCATTCCTACGTCTGTCTTTAGGTCAAATTTACACATAAATCGGAACAGTTAGGTATGGTTCGTATGCAATGTCAGCTAGTCAAATGTTTGTCTTAGTACACAGTGTAACTTTCTGTGCATAAAAAAATGAAAGAAACACTTCCAGATACACTAAAACATCTTTAACATAATACAGTAATAATAATAATAAAGTTTTGGTGTGCGTCGCAAACTAGCGCCTGTTTGTTATTACAAACCGTTGTATGTACCTTGAATTTTTAATATAATAGGCTTTATGGGCACTGATTTGTAACTATGGGTTGTATGTAAGTTGACCATTCATAACTCAGGGAACATGGACATATATGCAGTCAGACATTGCCCGAACTGACATTACGTGGCACATGATTGTATAAAAAAACCAAAGATATTTGATGTTCAAAACTGCCTGTATCCTTTATACCTGAAAACCATTTTAGATCACACTTTTTCTGTTTATCTCTTAGACGTTGCTCCACTATCTTCTGGCACTAGTAGTAAATATTTTTAGAAAAACAATCAAGTCTTCAGTTTAAAAAGTACAAGGGAAAAAAAACAAGAAGAAAGAAAGAGGGGATGGAGGGCAGGAGGAAAAAAAGAAAGTTTATCTCTGGATTAAAAAAATCAATGAAAACACAAGACAAAAATGTATAAAGGCCCCTGGGAGTTAAAAAAAAACAAAACAGCATTAAACAATCCAGGGTCAATCCCACAGCAAACTTCAAGGGGGTGTCCAGTTTCACACAAAGTCTGGTTCAAGCAGGAAGGTAGACTTTTTATAATTCTATAACACATTCATTCATACACTATGCACATCAACCACCCTGGTGGCATAGTGGGTAAGCATTCAGCTGCTAACCAAAAGGTCAGCAGTTCAAATCCACCAGCCACTCCTTGGAAACCCTCTTAGCGGCAGTTCTACTCTGTGCTATAGGGTTGCTATTAGTCGGAAGTGACTCGACAGCAACGGGTTTGGTTTGGCTTTATGAACATCAGGGAGAAATGGGGACACAGAGACTAAGAGTACAGTTGCTAAAACTGGCAAGAAAAGGAAAGAGAGACTTACTGTGGCCTGTGTTTGTGCCACGTATTCACCCTCCATCTTATTCAGACGTATATTTGTATCCTCAAGCAATTCTTGAATATTTTCAGTGTGTTTCTTTTGAAGATCAAACTTTTCCTTTTCCATTTCTGCTACAGCAGTGTGAAGCTACACAATGAAATCAAGAAACAACTCTTTCACTACTATGGAATATGCTATTTTGGAACTGAGAAAAAAAAAATGTTTTCCTATATCCCTCTAGTATTTATTTGGCAACCTGAAACACAACAGCTATAAAACCCATAAGCAAACATTCAAAGTAAAAACATCATATAAAGAACATGATTAAGAAACATTTCACTGTTTTTCTTTACTTTCCTGAATTAAAAATTTTAATGGATGGACAAATACTAAAGGGAATTATTTGTCTCAGGTAAAAAATAAATAAATAAATCAAACAAACAATAAAATGTCTCAGCCAAACAAGTATTTATATATATAATATTTTTATTGATAAATATTATTTCAATGTCTATATTACTCATGTTATTTGCACGAAATTTTGCACAAGAGTAATGTTAAAAATTGTCTTCTCTCCCATCCTAACCGTCAACAAGAAACTACTTCTAGCCATTTCATAATACATTCAAAAGTGGAAACAAACATTGCATCTGTAATCAAATAGAGTAAGTAGGATGACTAAGAAAAACAGAATATTATGCGTCCTCATATCCACAGGTCTTTATTTATAAAGATTATTATGATTATACACTGTCTAAATAGATGAAGATTTAAAAACATACATGCAAACTAAGATAAAGAAAGCAAAGAAGCAAAGGCCGGTGGTCCAGAAAAAGTCCGATGGACAGTTTCCAAAGGTGTTTGAAAATCGTGCTCCCAGCTGTGGGCCTTCTCCACTTACCTTAATGAGACTGGGATTCTAAGTCCATCTCCTATTTTCTGCATCTAACCCCAGGCTCACTCAATGAGTGGCGAGAGCAAGAGCCTAAGATAGTCTAGATGATATATTTGATTCCTCACCCATGAATATGGGAGAGAGGCAAGGATGTGACACATGCAGTGTAGACTCTTATTTGACAAGAAGGTTTAGAGGAACAAGAAAGATTCTGAGAGATGGTGGGAACTGGAGGCAAATTGTAGGTGGTAATAGTGGTAATTATTGGAAAGGGGTCCAAGAACTTTTCTTCCCGCTTCTAGTGAACAAGAAAAGTGAGGATGGCTCAGGAAGAGCCATAGAAAACAACCTTCGACTTCACAGATTTAACATACGCAGTTTTCACTATTTGTAAGAGATCCAAAAAATTCCTGATATGTTGTATTTGTATTTTTGCCAAGTCATATATTTTAAACTGGTATTACACCTGGTATTCAAAAGTCAGTCATTTAGCTGATACAAGCCCACAGTATCTACATCTCACTACTGCTTCATAGCTGTTAACTGACATACATGGTAACTCTGGTAAAGGGCTATGAAGGAGTCACTTGTGTATGGGAACAACGATATGTTACAGTGGTTTCCTCATGCTTCTTGTCTCCGAAAGGTCCTAGGATACATGCCTGCTGAATGTCAAAAGCTTGTTGTATTTAGTAGCCCATCAACACAGTGGTTTCTTGTGTGCATCCTACAATTGCTTTATAAAGGGATTATGCCTAGCAAAAGGTGTCTGTAAGTCGGTCCAGGTCAATTAAAATACATCCAAGGAATTTACAGTTGAGACTACAAGGGTAAAAACAGCTCTGGCAAAAGTAGGTACATTGTAACTTCGCTGGTCAGTTTGAGGATCAGATAGGTGTATCTGGTCTAGTAATCTGACTGGAAATGACTAGTACTTATTCATTCATCCAACAAAATTTTATTAGTACTAACTCTTTACCATGGACAAGGCATCACAGAGGGATTTCCCAAACTTAGCAATGAAAATGGAGTACAGGTGACTTGGTCTGGGAGGCTTTAAAGGGCAAAATTTCCCTAAGGGATAAACTGTCTATTTTAGCAGTAAATGTTATTAAGCATGCTATAAAGTAGAAATCTTGCTAGGGCTTATTTTCAACCATAAGGATGCCATCATAGCCCTGAAAATGAGTGGGCCCATGTAAAACCTCAAGGAGATTTTTACCTAGGGTGTGGCAATGAGTACAGAGTCCTACACACTGGTCTTTAGCCTGTACTTTTGCCCCTGTAGTAGACACATGCCAGAGGAGACCCAGAGGAACCAAGAGTGTGTTCCAAACTGAAAGAAAAGTATTTGTAAAAGGCCACAGGCTAAAGGTGCAGCCACTTTAGAAAACAGTCTGGCAGTTCCTGAAAAAGTGAAACATAGAGTTACCATATGACCCAGGAATTTCACTTCTAGGTATATATCTAAGAGACTTGAAAATATATGTCCATACAAATATTTGTGCACAAATGTCCACAGCATCATTATTCATAATACCCAAAAAGTGGAAACAACCCAACTATCTATCAATTGATTAAATGGATAAATAAAACATGGTATAGTCAGCCATACAGTAGAATATTATTCAGCCGTGAAAAGGAAGTACTGACACATGCTACAACATGAATGAGCCTTGAAAACAATGTTAAGTGAAGGAAGCCAGTCACCAAAAGCCACATATTGCATGACTTCCATATTATATGAAATACCCAGAACAGGCAAATACACAGAAAGTAGATTAGTGGTTGCCAGGCACTGGGGAAGGGGAAAACAGGAAGTGACTGCCAATCAGTACAGAGTTTCTTCCTAGGATGATGGGAAGTGTTCTGTAATTTGACGGTGGTAACGGTTGCACATCTTTGACAATATACTAAAAATGAGTAAATTACATACTTTAAGAGGGTAAATTTTATGGTATGCGAATAATTTCTCTTTCTGGCAGAATAATATTCCACTGTATGCATGTACCACATTTTGTTTATCAGTTCATCTGATGATGGACATTTAACTTGTTTCCATCTTTTGGCTATTGTGAATAGTGCTGCAATGAACACTGGAATCCTCATCCACTGCTGTTGGGATTGTAAAATGGGACAGCCACTGTGGGAACAGTTTGGAAGTTCCTCAAAAAGCTAAACAAAGAATTACCATATGATCCAGCAATTCCATTCCTTCATAAAAACCCAAAATAAATGAAAGCAGGAAACCAGATATGTGTAAACCAATGTTCAATGCAGGAAATATTTTTTCTTGATTAGACTGAACATTCCTCCAAAAATGATTTGTTTTCAACAAAAACACGTTTATGCTATAAATTCTAAAGTATGGATGACACTGTGTTATCTGAAATCAGGAAAGAAATGATCTAATGGCCTAAATCCAAATTAAAATGGTTTAACTTCCAAAAATTGTTCTAGTGCTATTTCACTATTAATTTTGCTTAAAATCTGTTGGCTATGACAAAAAAATTAGAACAGTAATTAAATCCAAGATTTAGTCAAAAGTCAGCTTTCTATGTGAAAATGTATTTTACAGAGCATTACAACTCTACAAGAAAATACCCCAAAACATAAACAACAGACATTCCTAAATGGTAGAAGTTTAAGGGTTTTTTTTTTTTTTTTAATTGTGGTAAAAATATGTAACAAAACAATTGCCAATTCAACAAGTTTTACATGTATAACTCATTGGCCCTGATTACATTCATGCTGTACAAACATAACTGCTATCCTTTTCCAAATTATTCCATCATTAACAGAAACTCAGTACTCTTAGAAATAAATTTTTAAGTTATTTTTATTTTATTTTTTCATACTTTTCTGTATTTTTACTGTGAATACCCATTATTTTTCAAACTAAAAATCTTACTTTGAAGTACAAAGCTCGTACTTTGAAGAACCTCATATACTTCTGTTTTATTTTCTATTAGTTTTATCTCATGTAGCTTACCTTTTTCTCCCAATCATTATTCAGAGATTCTGCACTTTGTTCACATATCTTTTTTAGCTCTGTAATCTGGTTTTCTTTAGTCTCTCTGATAACTTGACAGTCACGTATAAGGGTCTGAACTGTCAAAAAGGATGAAAATATAGTTAAACCAACTCTAGATACCACATAAAGCTTGATTATATAAAATACAGTGCACCAGCTAATAGATAATTCAATTTTTCACCAAGTTTTCTTAATTGTCTCTTCTCAAATACCTCTTACTCTTTCCTCTTCTTCCCCATTCCTACCACCACAGCCTTGGTGGAATTTGTCATTACTCACTCCCTAGACAATTTTAACTGTGTGCTAGCCTCAAGTTATCATCCTCCTCCAGTTGGTCCTCCGTTGCCTTAAAGAGGCCTTTCTACAATGCAAATCCAATACTGTTACTCTCAGGCTTAAAACTGTTCTACAGTCCCTCTCACCTAAAAGATAAAGGCCGGAAGCTTCTGACATGGAAAACATCTCCTTGGGCTCCCACTACTCTCTGCTCATAGCTCCTGCCTCTTCCATACTTTCAACCTGTATTGTAAACACACCAACCGATCTGCACCCTCTGGAGGATGTATTCTTTCATGTATCACTGCCGAAATATGATCAACTGTCTACCTGGAATAACCTTCCCTCCCTAGTTGAAAAACTCCTACTCATTCTTCGAGTCTCAATTCAAGTAGCACATTCTTTATGAACCATTCACCAACTGTATTCCTCCCTGGCAGGGACAGAAAAAAATTCTCCTCTTTATTCCTATAAATCCTCCAAAAAACCACACCTGTGGGCGTCAAGTTGATTCTGACTCACACTGACCCTACAGGACAGAGCAGAACTTCCCCATAGGGTTTCCAAGGCTATAAATCTTTACAGAAGCAGACTGCCACATCTTTCTCCCCAAGAGTGGCTGGTGGGTTCAAACCACCGACCTTTCAGTTAGGGGCCACCAACGGACTGCGCCACCAGGGCTCCTTGCTTTATCCCCATAGAAACTCATATATTAAATCATTAAATCATATACTACATTATGTCTTTTGCGTGCTTATTCGCCTATTTCCTTCATAAGATTATGTTCACTGAGGACAAACATATTGCAACTTTTTATCCACAGGGCCACACAGGCAAGTACTCAAAAAGTTGTGTATGAAAGAAATAAATCAAATAATTCATCAGTTCAATATAGTGCTGTTCCTAGATACTTGAGAATTATTTCCAAAGTTTGTTACTTAAATGAAATATGTGTTAAATTACATAAAATATTTCCCTTATAACATTTTAATTTCTATCTTCTCTTTTAAAAATTATTTAAATGTCACTAACTTCAGTGAAATTCTGTTTAACATATTCATGTCATCTGGATAGTAAGATAAATTCAGCTGTATGTTTTTCTTGAATATAATATTTTCGTAGCTTACTATGTTTTTTTTCCATTTACTTCAAGGTAGCAAAATTTTATTAAACACTTCCACAGAAATTTCTTTCATTTATATCTCAACTATGCAACAAATAATGGAAGAAGCAGAAGAATCCAAGTTAACGTAATATTAGTCTTTAACCTCTACAACACATTTTATGATTCCAAAATTAAACTAAGATCTGTTTGAAATTCAAAAAGCCTTAATAAACATTATTTTTAAACCTTGGACATGTGAATTGCCTAATTTGAATCAGGGTAAGAAATGAAAAGCTTGAAATACATTTAAAATATTTTTATAGCCACTAATAATATTTGGAGAAAGAATCTGAACAAATTTCTAGTTATTTTTAGCAAGGCTTAAGGCTAGATATAAACACATCAAAATCTATTTTATTAGTTAACTTATACACGCAATTGCCACCCAAAATTGTTAAGGGAATATATTCACTCAGATATAGCCAAATCTGGTGATTTAGGAGAGAGTCATTAAACTCCATGTGGGAACCCCTAAACAAAACTGTCCCTCCTCTGTCCCCTTATTCATTGCCTATATTTTATCTGGGATTCATCAAATCCTACCGATTACTCATCAAAAATTTTTCTTCAGTTCCAGTCTCACTAATCCAACTGCCATCACTCACATATTCTGGATCATTATCACCTTACGCACAAAATTACAGTACAGAAGAAAATCATTTACAGTTGGAAGGGGCTTTGCATATTATTTATTCCAACCATACCATTTTATAACAAGCAAGCCAAGGCCCAGTGACTACCTGATGTCATGCATTAAATACTGAATAGCGGAGCTTAGATTACAGCCTATGTTTTCTAATAAGTGGAATCTCTCAGCCTCACACCATTCTGCCTGACTAATGTAACACACACAGAAGTGGCCTCACCATGTTCAATACACTCACCATTACCAGGCTATTCCTCCTAAACATGAGATCCTAAAACTCACCTCCCAAAAACCTTCTTTGGCTTACCAACACATACAGGATAAAGTTCAAACTTCTAAATCTGATATTCAAGGTCATGCTTCACCTAGCTCCAGTCACTATCTTAATCTTTTTCAATCTATCTCTTAAAGTATGAGATATCTTCTCTAAAGATTTAAAGGTTCTTCTCTAAAGATTTAAAGCATCTTTCCCACAACTTACCATTATCAGTATTTCTACCTCAGTATCTGGGAACTCTCCAGCTATTCAAACCTCACAAATCTTTTAAAGTTCTTTTCTTCAAAAAATATTTTCAACACTCTCTATCATGACCGCCTGCTGCATTTACATGTTCCGACCCATGATCATAGTCATTTTAACACTTGATCAATGCTTTCTCTTCCTTCTTAATAAGAGTATAAATGGGGAATATTTTTAATATGGTTTTCCATCAGTCACAATACCAGCAGCTATTACACATAAACTAGAGCTTAATGGACTGCATTGTACTAGACAAAGAGGAATTATTTCCATAGACATCCTTGTAAAAGCCAATAAACTCTAATCCCATGACTGGCCTCAAATGACCTAAGACAGCTCAAGCTCAGGGAGGCAGGAAAGAGTTAAGTAGCAGGAGTGACAGTGACAGACTCTTCCAACCCTTTAACCAAACCAACCCCCTCTACCACCTCACCACTGCCATGACACACACACATACACACACACACACACGCACACAGTTTATCCCCAGTCATTCACTGAAAAGTATGGAAACCTACATAAACTCATCCATTGATGGAAGCCCACATAAACATTCCCATCTTATACTAATAAACTTCAGAAACCAAATTTTATTTTCTACAGCCACTAAATAAAATGTTATTAAAAGATTTACACAACAACACAACATCACCTTTCTTTTCAAGCTTTCTAATAGTCTCCTCAGTTTCGTTTTGCTTTCTTTTGTATAAGGTTTTCAATTCTTCTAGTTCATGATTCTTTCTGTCCAGAATCTGCAAATAAATTTAAAATTTTTTAGTATAAAGAATTGTTTTAAATATAGAACACATAACTTTCTTAAATGACAACATTTTATGCAAGTCTATCTCAGTTAATCCCATAAGCGGTTTCCCAAAAGTTGTAAAAAGTATACTTCAGTCCACTCAGAAAATGATTAAATGTGCTAGAAGAATTGATTATCTGAAAGAAATGTTACCTGTTTTGAATTTTCGTGTATAAATTTTTAAGGGGACTATAAATAATACATTAGGTGATTCTCTAAAATATAATTCAGAGACTAAACTGTCATAAAGTAGCAGGGAAAAGCCATCAGAAACTTGACATGTTGGGACAGTAATATTCACATCCCCGCTGCCGTGGAATAGAAAATTTTTAGGTGAGCGTATCCCTGAATCCTCCCACCACTGCTCTTCCATCATTTTAGCACACAATAATGAGAATTCTGAGGTACATGGGAAGATGACATTTATTAGGTGTCTTTGATATCTTGCTCTGCTATCGTGAATCACAAAAATCAGCTCAAAATGTGTCAAAAAGTATGAATATTTTACATCATTAATTTACATTGTGTCAGAAGTTTATATTTTAATAATTTAAGAAAATTTTATCATGATTTTATGTTTCTAAACACATCTACACTCAACGGTCTCCCCCCCCCCCGCAAAAAAAAAATTAAAATGTAGGAAAATTAGCAAGCGAGAAAAAATGTGCTAACCAAGGAGGAAAAAAAGAAAACCAAATTGAAAAAGGGGTATAAAAATTAACTTTTCTTATGGTTGGGATATATATTTCCTATATACTCAAAGTCAGCTAAGCAAAAAAGTTGTTCACCAAAGTTTAACCAACTTTTTGTTAGTGCTTTTTTTAACCAGCATTTTTCTTTACCTTTCGTTGTTTTAGTTCCACCTCTAGGATTGACTGATACACAAGAAAAGGAGCTACTTAGACCATATTATCCATAACAAACCCAAAACCCAACCCATTGCCATTGAGTCAATTCTGATTCACAGCAATTCTATAGGACAGAAAAGAACTACCTATAAGGTTTCCAAGGCTGTAATCTTTTCTTTTTTTAATTTTATTGTGTTTTAGGTGAAAGTTTACAGTTCAAATTAGTTTCTCATTCCAAAATTTATACCTAAATTATTATGTGACATTGGTTGCAATCCGTGCAATGTCAGCACTCTCCCCCATTCCCTTTCCACCCCAGGTTATCCATGTCCATTTGTCCAGTTTTCCTGTTCCTTCTTGCCTTCTCATCTTTGCTCTTGGGTAGGTGTTACCCATTTGGTCTTGTATACTTGATTGAACTAAGAATAGGAAGCATGTTCCTCACATGTGTTATTGTTTGTTTTATAGGCCTGTCTCATCTTTGGCTAAAACGTGGACTTAGGGAGTGGCTTCAGTTCTGAGTTAGCAAGGCGTCCGGGGGCCACAATCTCAGGGGTTCCTATGGTCTCTGTCAGACCACTAAGTCTCATTCTTTTTTTCTGAATTTTAATTTTGTTCTACATTTTTCTCCCGCTCTATCTGGAACCCTTTATTGCGATCTGTCAGAGCAGTGAAGGCTGTAATCTTTACGGAAGCAGACTGCCACATCTTTCTCCTGAAGAATGGCTGGTGAGCTCGAACCACCGACCTTTCAGTTAGCAGTTGAGCACTTAACATTGTGCCACCAGGGATCCTTATATTACTCATAAAGAAGCAAAAAATAATATATGCAAGTAGATAAGACCTACTAAATTTTAATCCTCCTCCAATTCCTGACACTTAGAAAATGACATACAAGTAACAAACTGACGGACATACTTTCCAAATACGCCAGAAGGCCAAGGATTTTATTTATATTTTACCTGGCATTTCAAACAATTTTCATTCTCTTTTCATATAGAATTTACTTAAAAAGGAAATTCGTGAAACATTTTACTATAAAATTTTTTCTTAGAATACACACTTATAACAGAAATACTAAGAAGCCTATTTTAAACACTATTACTATGATTTTTTCCAAATATATCTTTTGTATTCATTCATCTTAAGAATGACTATGTATCAATACCTTCTATTTTACTTGGACATATATCAAATTGTATCGAAATTATGATTACTGAGTCTAACATATTTATGATAGAGAACTGTTTTAACTAAATACTTTAAAGTAAAATTCTAACAAGGCAGAAAGTAATACTTGCCTTTAAAATTTGAATGGAAAAGTGAGAGAAAGAAAGGGGTTAAATTCTAATTTTCAATCAATGGTTTCCTTTTTGTTTCTTTGAAAGAACAGCCAAATATGCACCTGACTAAATATTAAGCAAAGATGTCACTTTGAGGACTAAGGTGTGCCTGACCTAAGCCATGGTGTTTTCAATCGCCTCATATGCATGTGAAAGCTGGACAATAAACAAGGAAGACCGAAGAACTGACACTTCTGAATTATGGTGTTGGTGAAGAATATTGAATATACAATGGACTGCCAGAAGAATGAAAAAAATCTGTCTTGGAAGAAATACAGCCAGAATGCTCCACAGAAGTGTGGGTGGCGAGACTTCATCTCACTTACTTTGGACATGTTATCCAGAGGGACCAGTCCCTGGGAAAGGAAATCACACTTCGTAAAGTAGAGGGTCAGAGAAAAAGAAGAAGACCCTCAACAAGATGGACTGACACAGTGACTATGACAATGGGCTAAAACATAGCACTGACTATAAGGATGGCACAGCACTGGGCAGTGTTTCGTTCTGTGGTACACAGGGTCGCTATGAGTCGGAGCTGACTCAACAGCACCTAACGACAACAACAAAAATTTAAAAGCTTTTTAAGAAAGCATCAATCATGACTCCCTGTCGCCATCTCTGTGACTCAGTTTTGGGAAGCAGAATCATAGATTTAGTTTTGAAACAGTAACGCGATTTCTATTGGATCACCCTTCATGTATTAAAAAAAATTACTGTCATTAAATTATTTAATCATTTCTAAACCACATTATCAAATCAAATCCCATGTAAGATAACTATGAATTGATGGCATCTCATTGCTCTGACAGTTAAGAAAAATAAAATTTATTTAAAAATACATATTGAAAAGCTGGAAGTCATAAATCCCAATGAGCTACTTAAGAAAGAAGCCTACATTCTTTTTGCTAGCATGAGAATACATGTAGTCTATACCACACTACATTAAGTTCAAGAGTTCTTTTTGAAATTACAAAGAGAATTTTAATTAGCAGAAAACTCAAATATTAGACCCAACAAATATTTACAACGGATGTCTTATCTGAAAGGTAATGATAGAATGCAGATAAAGGATGATAAAAAGCTCATCCTTAAAAGAATACTTGAGAGTTCCGGCAAAATGGCGCTCTAGGCAGAAGCACCACGCCGTCCCTCCACAGCAAAGATCCGAAAAACTAAGCCGAACAGAGAATACAACAATCCTGAAAACCTAAAACATCAAATGAAGAGATAAAGAACTCAGCCAAGCACCAAATGGACTGAGAAAACTAGCAGAGAACGGACAGCGACGAGAGAGTCATGCAGAGGTCCCCTACCAGCTAATGCCGGGCGGATCCGCCATCTTGGACTCCTATCAGAGACCAGCAAACAGGGGGTACGAGAAAGCAGCCTCATGGAGCGTCCAGCGGGAGACAAAACAACTGGCAATTTGTAATATACGCTTTCCCACCCCCGACCCTTCTTCACCCCGACTCGGCCTCCTCTGCTTCCTGCGGCCACACTCTCTTGACCGGGAATCACCGGCTGCTTGGATTCCACACACCTGAACGGGCCGGCTCTCTTATTGCCATTTGTTGGCTGCTGGTGTTGCTTTTCTCCGCTTCTTCTGATTTCTTCCTTACCTCTCACCACCCACCTCCACCTCCTTTCGCTCAAATACCTGGCCCCATGCGCCATCTTTGCTTCTTCCTGAGAGGCTGCAGAGCTCCGGTAATTTGTGATATACGCTTTCCCACTCCCTATTCTTCTTCACCCACACTCGGTCCCCTCTGCTTCCTGCGGACACACTCTCTTGTCCAAGAAACACCAGCCTGCACTAGCTGCCTCTCTGACTGCCATTTGTTGGTGGCTAGTGTTGCTTTTTTTTTCTGCTTCTTTTGATTTCTTCCTTACCTCTCACCACCTCCCCCTCCTTTC